ATATTATGCAATATTATATAATTTCAAAATCTAAACCGATTTTGAATATATTTTTTTTTTAATTCGATAGGATTTGCTTCCATATTGGTGTCAGAAGTTCATATTATTATTGTTCTAAGTTCATATATTTTTAATATAATGTATTTATATAACATCTCGTTATTTATCGGTGTAAATAAACCCTCGCTAACTTTTCAACCGACTTAAAAAAAGTCGATTCTCAATTCGGTTGTATTTATTATTTATTTGTTACCTCAGAACTCTAGAATAGTCTGAAATATATGAACCGATTAGGAAAATTATTTTTAACCGACTTTTAAAAGAAGGATGTTCTCAAATCAATTGTATTTTTTATGTTTGTTACGTCATAACTTCGTCAGTTGTAAACCTATTTGGGAAATTCTTTTCCCATTTGAAAAGACATGCTTACAGATTAGTTTCATTGAAATTTTATTAAAACCAGTTCAGAAGTTTGATTTTTAAATCAAAATAAGTAATTTTGGCACGGCTGAAGTCAAAGATTCACATTTTGTTCTTGTGCAACAAAATCCGAAATAAAATATACTTACGTAAATGTAAAGTTTATACCCTCGTTAGTGCAATAATAATTTTGAATTCGTTGTTTATATTGAGCAAAACCTATTTACATAAACGTCATCTTTCAAATTGTCAATTCAAATCATCTTTATTTAAATAGACTTGTTTACAAGCACTTTTAAACTGTTATTTTTTTAAACTTCTGTAAGGTTCAGAAAGTTATCTGTTGAGAAGAGCTCGCAAGAAACTCTACAGTTACTTTTTTAAATCTAGATATATATTATTTATATTTATGTGATGATATTTTATCTATGTCTAAATTTACATAGTTGAAATTTTATCGAAAATTAACTAAATAGGTAGTTGTAGTAGTAAAAAGCTAAAAGTAGGTAACGTGGCAATACTTATATGAACTAATACATTGTAGGCGTCAATTAGTCACTTTACAATATGTAGGTTTAATATTTACTAATTCCAAAGTACAGTGGTAATGTGCCTATTGCTTTGCGTAACATTGTCTCAGATTCGGTTCGGGGTTTAACAATGTTTTGAAGCGACTTCAAAAGAAATAAATTCTCAATTTGACAGTGTATATTTATTTATTTATTCATTAGTACATGCACAAGGCAGACTTAATGTTAACGACATTGTATTGTATTGTAAAATCTTTATTGTACATAATTTATATTGATACATGAAACTATTTATTATACAATCCCATAAAGGGATCTCTTACAGTCAACCTTTGGGAAGCTGCAAGAAAACTGTAGAATGTACAAAGGTAAAAACCGTACAACTAAAAATAAGCTACAATAAATAATATCTAGTAAAAACTGAATCTACACTAATATTATAAAGAGGAAAGATTTGTATTTTTATGTGTATGTACGTTTGTAATGAATAAACTCAAAAACTACTTTGCCGATTTCAAAAGTTCTTTCACCATTAGAAAGCTACATTCACCCTGAGTAACATAGGCTATATTTATTGCTAGAAAAGATTAGGCATCCTTACTAAAACTTTAGTAACGTAACTCTAGGTTGTAGGTAACGTAACAAATGCTATAAAATATCTTTCGACGCGTGCGCTGCGGAAACTATTGGTGATAGGACAAAAGTATGTTCTGCAATATTGAAGAAAATATCAATAACTACAAAAAACTTCGCAATACTATATGTCTAACTATTATCGTTATGTCACAATAATCACTTTTTAAAATGTTGTAAAAATGACCACCTGTGCGAAGACGGGACGGGCCATTAGCACATAATAGAATAAAAAATAACTGTATTACCTACATTATCTCCCAGTCAATCTTAGGGATGTGTTAAAACACTCGAATGCAGTACTATTTATAATTGACATACGTTTATACCAAAATAGGTTTGCCATAATTGAAGTAAAGTTTTCATAAAGTTAGGGATACAATCTTTAATTATCATACATTTTATAAATTTTTTACAAGTTTTATTTTATTTTATTTTATTTTATTTATTTATTACTCTAAACTAACGTAATAGTTAAGTCATATTGAACGAAAATTAATATCAACAGCTTGCATTTTAATTGGATGCCCGATGATTGGACAACAATTAAGTATACCTTTTACAGATATTTTATAGTTTGTTTATTATATTCCATGTTATTTTTATGGAATTAATTATATACTTAACATTTTTTTTTAATAACTCGAATGTTGTATAAATGTAATTTAGGTTTATTGATCCCTAAACTCTACTCCATGTTCTCGTATCAATAAATTCTTGCAAGTTAATTACTATTGCTAAGAATTATGGTGTGGTGGTATACTGTATTTCTAAATAATTAAGATTGTTTCATAAAAAAAAGCCGGTCAAGTGCGAGTCGGACTCGCGCAACGAGGGTTCCGTACAAAATTGTCAAATTTAATTTTTTTCGTTGTAAAATAACTATAAATTTACGGTTTCCGTTTTTTTTTATCCTTTACTTGTCCTACATGATATTGCTTCTTGTCAAATTTCATGATTTTATGTCAACGGGAAGTACCCTGTAAGTTTTGATTCCATTGTATTTGAAGCATTGCATGATTGCAAATGTTAAAATATACGATATAAAAGGAACATAAACGTTCGTATGTTTTAATTGTGTCTAATTTAGAAGCTTGATTTATATAAATAAATTATCTCTTTTGTCAATTATTATAAGAACATAAATAAGTATCAAGCAATTTAAATAAACATGAAAATTGCACAACAACCTTAGTACTAATAAAATATTGAGATAACAATCTATGAGAAAAATCATTGTGAAAAACTATATTAAAACCCTAGCAAAAACCATCTTAATCTCATTAGTAATAAAGTTTATATTTCATATTGAAAAACCTTGGATTTTCCACGACACAAATCAAGATTTTTCATATAGCTGTACAAACGAAAATAAGCCGTATTCGTTGAGTGATAAGTGTCATTTGATTTGTGTCGCGTAGGTGGCATATAGGTGGCTGTCCTCGGTCGGAGGCCGCGTATAATTACCCGAGCTTCTGCCAATAATATACAAGGTGTTATCGGCAAGAGTGAGTGTGTGTAGATATGGGAGTAAGTGTACAATATGTCACCATAACTCTTAAGAGGTGATTAGGACAACTAAGTATGTGTGAGGGGAAAGGGATTGTTAGTAATAGGGTCTAACTGACCCATTGCTAGCAATACACCTTATCAGATCGACCTCCACGTGCTTTCCTCTGAAAACCTTCGTGGATAATTCGTCACGATAGACTGACTGACCTGCTTATATATTTTATATATTATATATTTTATATATATATATATATATATATATATATATATATATATATATATATATATATATATATATATATATATATATATATATATATATATATATATATATATAAGTTTTAAGTAAGATGCTACAGGATGAATAAAGGATCACACCAAAGACATCAGTAGTTGATGATTGATTGTTTTTTCGTCATCAGGGAAGTCAGGTAGATGGGCTTCATGTAGCTATTAATCCTCTTATTTCTATACTTTTAATTATCTCTAGAGAGAAAAAAAATATAAAATATCGTACAACAAGGATGGGCCAGCAGCTTGGTAGACCACTACGTGGTAGACCACTAGCGTTCGCATCATCACTACGAGGTCTGTCCGGAAAGTTCGTATAAAAGTGTTCTGGAATGCGAGAAAGAGGAGTGGGGAGGCCAGGTAAGCGCAGGACCCCTTCCTTATGTCCCTAACAATGCTTCAGTTCTGGTCTGACCGCCGTGCGGTGCGAACTGGCTTGTCACGCCATCTGTGAAGTTACCTCTTAACGAAACCCCGTCGGCATGGAGCCCGCTTCCGTTGAAGAGCAGCGCGTCGTAATCAAGTTTCTCTCGAAACTCGGCAAGAATGGCCGTGAAAGCAAAGAGTGGAAGACATCCGGGGAACCACGAACAAAAAAATCAAGAAAATCCCGCTTAAATGTCAAGACAATGTTGATTGTTTTTTTCGATGTTCGGGGGATTGTCCATCAAGAATTCGTCCCTCCAGGCCAGACAGTTGATGGAAAATTCTACGTCGATGTGCTCAGACGCCTCAAAGCTCGTGTGGCACGAGTTCGTCCAGAATTGGCGCGAGAGGGGCGTTGGATTCTTCACCACGACAATGCCCCTGCCCACACCTCTCTTGTTGTCCGTGAGTTTTTGAGTAAAAATTCCATTACGGTGACCGAACACCCCCCCTATTCGCCGGATTTGGCCCCGTGTGACTTCTTCTTGTTCCCAAAAACCAAATTGGTACTTCGGGGGCGGCATTTGGGGGACATAAATGAGATAAAAAAAGCTACGACGGGGCAGCTGAGAAACCTACAACCAGAGGACTTTCAAGGAGCCTTCTCACAGTGGAAACGGCGTTGGCACAAGTGCATTATGTCACAGGGGGAGTACTTTGAAGGGGATAAAATTGATTTACCTGAATAATTGTAAAATAAAATTTTTAAAAAACTTTTATACGTACTTTCCGGACAAACCTCGTATATCAGCCGTTAACCGTAACTGCTGAATACAAGTCTCCCCTATAAAGGGGAATTTGCTAATACCACGCTTGGCAAGCGGGTTGGCAACTACAGTTGGGCTTTGGAGATAATTTAAACAGGGACGCTGCTGTCTATGCATCGTCTTCCCTTAGTCGGCTCTTACGACACTTAAAAGGAAGGGGTGGCCTATTCTATGCCGGGACCATACGGCAAACGGTACGAATGTTTGTATGTATTTAATTTATCATATTATATATTGAAATATAAATAGTTTTATTATTTTTTAATCCGCCATCGAGTATTTCTGCACATCTTGTAAGTTGACCTCTAGAGAATGGCTACAGCATAAAAACCCGCATTTTGTACCACATTTAAAAAATAGAGATGAATTGAAAAAACACTTCTTTTGGAAATCGTTATTAAAATATAAATTAAAACTTTACCTGTCTGTTGCCACTACCGCCGACCCGAGCATCCGCGGTGATGTCACCTGCGTGTGACGTCACACTGTGCCGCCGACCCGACCACCTGACGCAGGTCCTTGCCGTCGGCCGTGTGCCACAAAAAACATTACATCATTATCATTCATAGTGGTAGCTACGACATTTTGATTAGCGTGAAATCAGACGCCGAAGCCCTTAAGGAACGAGTCTTAACAAATCATTTTGTATGCTGACAAAATGTACTACCAAAAAAGTGAACTGACAAAAAAAGGTAAATATAACAAAAGGTTATAATTGTTGGGAGAAATAAGGTAATAGTCCGTTTCAATAGAAGGTATTAAAAATATAAATACAAAACACACACACACACACACACACACACACACACACGCACACGCACACGCACACGCACACACACACGCGCACGCACACGCACACGCACACGCACACGCACGCGCACACGCACGCACGCACGCACGCTCACTCGCATCCCGCTCGCCCCACTTTTTTTTATTGAAAGTTGTTCAAATGAGTTGCGCGTTATATAAAGCGTTCACTGTATTTTTAAACTACTAAACTCTGAGTACAAAACAAATCTAGGTCAACTATATAGATGGTGTATAAAGCCAATGTATGTATCTGTATTTCTAACCGCAATCCTTGAACAGACAGACAATCATACACGGTATATAATTACGAAAGAGTGAAAAAGATGTAATGAATTTTAGTTGTTGAATATCTTTATATCTTAGACTAGCTGAGCCGACAGAATTCGACTGCCTCAGTCGATAAATAAAAGATTTAAACTTTGTATTGTATTGTATAAAATAAACTTAAAACTAACAGAAGGAATCCATAATTATAAAAAAAATATACATTTCTTTTTTTATACAACTTAGAATGGCAAACAAGCTGACGGCCCACTTGATGGAAAGTGATAACCGTCGCCTATAGATATGAGCAGTAGCATGGACATAACAGAGTATACTGTTTCGCCTATGATACCCTCCATGCGTTGCCATTCTAGAGGACTCAGGTGTTATTTCTCTGTACCCAGTAAATTCACGACATATCCCACCCTTCAAACCGAAACACAGCCATGCAAACACAACTGCTTCACGGTAGAAACACGAATGGGACAAAGGTGGCCAAGCAAACGACTTTTATACAAAGTCTCCCTCTGGTACATAAAAATAATCTAAAAGATAGTTAAGAACTTTAATATTTATTCACCTTTTAAACCTTCTTTGGACTTCCACAAGTTCTAGGGTTTTAGCGATAGTTTAGATAGACGAACAGCAATTCATTTATATATATATATATATATATATATATATATATATATATATATATATATATATATATATATATATATATATATATTACATACAACATATAAAATATAAAATACGATACTAGTGGTCAAAAGTTTTTGACATATACCGAATTATTACATGCCAATTTGGGACATATTTATTAGATTATTATTAGACGTATTTATTGTATACATAGATAAATAGTTCATTCATTACTTACAAATGGTTCTAATCTTGCCTCAAAAACGAGTCAACCTTTTGTCAGCTAGTTGTCAAATTAGCTGATTCGTTTTTTAATCGGTGTTCTATATATTTACGCATGCATTGTATTTTGACGTATTACTTAATAAATAAAATAAGTGTTTACACATTAAAGAGGTGCAGTAATTATAAGACAAAATAAATATGTAAATTATAAAGGAATTGCAGGTGTATTCATATTCATCACAATGGGCTAACTGACCTGCCTTTTTCATTCTCATTTATGATCCCTCACTGGGACCCCGCCAGCGTATAGCGCAGACGGGGTTACCATTTCATTATCATCCATTGAAAAAAAAAATGAACCTAATACCTAATTCATTTTTAAAAAAACACCATGCAAAACAGGGCATCTCGTTTATTGGTAATAATTAAAAAAAAATTTAAAGGTATTTTGAAGACGGTGCGAAGACCAATCCCGGATAAGAGAATTACTTATGTTCATTCAAAAACAACGCTGCAGGTACGTTTGTTTTAGACTGAATACATAACAATTTAAGTACATATACTAATCATTACATAAGCAAAGTATAAGGTAAGCTAACAATTGACACATCTGAGGTCACATCGCCTGAGAATCATACAAGGTTGAAGAACTACATGCATCCAATTTAATAAGACCCACACACGAGTCGGTCATGAATGGTTATCCGAATAAATGAAAGGTCTCATTTTACTGGATATAGCCTTGAATGGGTCTTCCTAGTAGGTGGTTTTGATTTTTCACATTAGCGCTCCACTATTAAGTGTTCAATCATATTTATTTGTATGGATCTGTTTGTTACATATTTGTACTAGTCGAAAACTAAGTTTATAACTATTGAAGGTCATAGCTGCTGGTCCCGGCTTCGTACGAGTGCACTTCTTGCACGACTACGGCGAAAAAAGGAGGATTATGATTTTGACCGTTAGACCGGGTAGGTCTTCCACTGTTGAGGTGTTTTGCCAATTGCTAAACTTGGCAGGAGGATTTGCAACCGCAGTTAGACTTTCAAAGAAGGCCGCTGCTGCCCATCGCTCGACCATAAAGTTCTCTTAGTCGCCTCTTACGACATCCACGGGAAAGGAAGAGGTGGCTTGTTCTATGTCCAGACTACATGGCTGTACTTATGTATGTTATACAATAATTCATGTAAAAGTCCAATGTAAACTCACATATCGATGAACTATAAGATAATAAGAAGATAGGAACATTATATTCCAAATATTTGAATTAAGGAACACAAAATAGCATGCCCATAAATCGACTTAGCTTCGCAAAAAATCTGGACTTCTGGTCTACAAAGAAAAATAACAGCTTTATTTCTTACAAAATGTGTATGACATATGACAAACACGAGAACATATGACTGCAATACATATATGTAATCAGAATTGGCGATCTAATCCTATAACATAACCACAACAATAAATTAAGATTCATTGCAAATCTCCTTCATTTTAACTGACTTTAAAGAATGGAGAAGGTTCACTTTATTTAGATTTTTTTGTTATTACAGAACACGCGTCATTAATAAACTTGTTAGAAGAATTCTTTTATTATTTATTTATTTATTTCAAAAGATTGATTTTAGATTGCTTGTATAGAAGTTTCATGAATTCGGTTCAGTAGGTAATAAAAATTACTGACTTTACCACGATTAAAGTTCTTTTTTGTGGAGCAAAATTTTTTTAAGAAATATATTTGCCAATGTTGAACAGTTTTTTTATGCAACTTAGAATGGTAAACAAGCTAACGGCCCACCTGATGTAAAGTGGTAACCGTCGCCTATAGACATGAGCAGTACTATAGACATAACAGAGTATACTGTTTCGCCCATGATGACCCCCGTGCGTTGCCTTTCCTGAAGACTCAAATGTTATTCCTATGTACTCTGTAAATTCACTGCCATATTCCATTCTTCAAATCGAAACACAGTCATGCAAACACAATTGCTTTACGATAGAAACACGAATGGAATAGAGGTGCTCAAGCAAACGACTTTTGTGCAAAGTGTCCCTCTGGTCTCGTTTTTGATTTAATTTTATAGTCAATTAGGATTTATTCTCGTGTTGGTTTTATACTCATTTTGTCACTTTAAAATCGCTGTCATTTAGCTTGAGACCGTAAGGCGAAATGACAGCGTAAATATTCCTACGACCATCAATTCCAGTCGCGTGCTCTCGCATACTGAAACATTAAGTAGTATGTTTTTTTAAGCGTATTATGCTAAATTATCAGGAACAAGAGTAATGGAACACAAAACATAATAGTTTCACACAACTCCCCCATTGTCTTATGGGAATATTGAGCAACCGTTCTCCTTTTGTAATAATAAATGGCCGCGCTACAAAATGCTCTAAGATTTCGCGATAAGTGTATTTTAAACTTACTCCTCGCAATTACGTGATAATTATATAATTATGTTATGTTATTAATTTTAGAACTTGTTAGTATTGTTATATTACGATTTATAATATTTGGTTTTTATAAATACATAGCTGTTTCCCGCAGCTTTGACTATCGTCAATCAATATATAATTATGGAACAAACTTCCATCTAATATATAGGATAGTCCTTCCATTACTTCCTTTAAGAAAAGATTTAAGTAACATTTTTAACTAATAATACCTAATATTATGCACTTGCCATTACATGTATCGTATATGTATATATATTGTACATTACTATTCACTATTATATTATGTTTTTGTACGCACGCTCGCACACACACACACACACACACACACACACACACACACACACACACACACACACACACACACACACACACACACACACACACACACACACACACACACACACACACACACACACGCACGCACACGCACGCGCGCACACACACACACACACACACACACACACACACACACACACACACACACACACACACACACACACACACACACACACACGCGCACACGCACGCGCACGCACACGCACACGCACACGCGCACACACACATAGATATACACACGCATATATAATATATTGCAATTTGTGTATGTTTATTTTATTTGTATGCTAATCATTTCCTCTCTCACTGTGCTAATACATATAATTTGATTGGAAAAGATCTCTTTCAGAGTTAAACCTACAAAACTATATGTATTTAGTGTAGCCCTGGTTTTTCTGTAAATAAATAAATAAAAATAATTCTAAGTAGGTAGATGACTAATATAACTCTTGTTTTCCGTAGTTAGACAAGTTTAATAAAATTCTTATTTTCCGTCTGAAGTGATCACAGTTCTCGATTAATTAACATATTCTGACCTCAGCGGATAACAATTTTTATGTAAAAGCATCGATGCGCATCGGTAATGAACTCCCGACATTGCTTATAGTGTAACTAGTGATGTACTACAGTTTCGAGTAAAATAATGCTCGAGAACTCGAATACTAGTATTGTCCGACTCGGCACATTACTAGTATTCGAGTTTTCGAGTATTTTCATACTCGTTGTAACCTGACTCGAGTTTTCAGACATGAATAAATATTTAACTACCGTATCGGAACCG